GGGTGGGGTGGGGTGGGTGGGGGGGGGGGGAGGGGGTTATTGTGTTGATATGGATGATTGTGATTTTGATCATTTGATAAATTAAATGTGATTCTTTTAAACATGAATATCTTTTTTCCTTACAATTTGTTGATGAATATGCCATAAATTATCCTTAATTAATTAGTATTTATTTAAAATAATTTATTGATTCTCTACACGAGCGAATGATCCAACTTCAAACTTACATAGATGAATCGAATAAGTCCTATCTTAATATATGTCCTTCTGAGATGCCTTCTTACCTGAATTCAATCAGCAATAAAAAGAAATATATATGGAATAAAGAGTGAACTTTATAAAAACATGTTCCACAAAGCACATGTTCAATAAATCAGAATATAGCGATTGATCTAGTTGAAAAGTATAGCACAAGAGAAAGGTAAGATGACCGTCAATGGATAAAAACTCACTTATCTAAATAAGAGTAAAATTGAAAGAAAAAAAATTAACATCTTCTTAATTACGTGAAACATCACTTATTTTGAATCAAAATAAAAAAATAAAAACATCACTTATTATAATACGGAGTGAATTTTTTTTTAAAAAGAGTTCATTTTTAAAGACAATATACTTGACACACTTCAAGTTTGCATTTCTCCCATAGGAACCACACGCACCCTACTTATAGCTTGATTGAGATGCTCTAATTCTACCATCTTTTCAAGATTAGTTGTCCTTGGGAAATCAAATTCATTGCCACTAAAAGTTCTGTTAGGCCAAGAAGACAATTGTGGAGTGGCAGAACACCATTAGACAACCATAGACAACATTTTCAGAGTAATTATCCCATAGCTTTCTCATGTAAAAATTCTTGACCTTAATAACAACTCTAGTAATTGGTGCTTTGATGCATCTCATTATTTTGCTTTCTTTCTCACCCTTATTCAACTTCATTTTTTCTATGTGAACAACATAGATATAATTAAGTTAGAAAGCTAAATGTGTTATAAATATCAATTAGTGGAGTACTAGTACTTATATATTGTTGTAATTTAGTTTGTTGCAACAAATTCTCATGAAAGATGCATGTTGCGTAGTAATTTGTTTGATGGTGACACATGATTATAAGAAAGGGGCATGTAAGTGATTAGGCTTATATTGAGTTTTGGAAGTTCTATTCGAAGTAAAGTTCTAGTTCGTGATATATTAGGGCATGACAAATTTTCAGTATATATATGACATGAAGGCCATTGAGAACCGCACTTATTGCATATTCATGAAATTTATCATCTTAAGAGCAATAGTCACAGAACAAAACTGCAGGACTTTGTCTCAACAACACTGAAATCTTGTTTACAAGTTATGTTCGAGTCTGTACTATTTAATATTGAAGTTTGATCAGTTAAAGACTAGAGTTATTAGTTTTTTTTTGTGTGATGTTTGGATAGTTAAAGGCTAGAGTTATTAGTCTTTATTGAATTTGTAATATGATTATTATAGAGTTGTAATAATTCTGAGCATCGTTAAAGATGTGACCAATGTGAGATTTGTAACAAGAAGAGAGTTTATCTTGTTGGAGACTTGTTAGAACAATTAGTTAATATTAGGGGTCGTTTGATAGAGTGTATTAACAAAAATAATGCATGCATTAGCTTTGTATACCTTGTTTGGTATACTTTTTCATGTTACGTATAATTAATGCTAACATTAGTTATACACTCTATTGTGTATTGATGAGTGTATTACGAATACCATAGATTTCTAGGTATTAGTACTGCAAAGGATTTAATACATGCATTTGCATGGTTAAAGACTCAATTACCCTTCAAAACTCCTTTTTTATCTTTTCCACCATGATTGTAGAGGATATTTTTGTAAATAAATATTTTAATGCAATGTATGCTAATTTTAATACACCAAATCAAACAATGCATAAGAAATAATTTGTGTATAATTAATAGGCATAATACATAAACATGACCCTTAACTTGGTGTCAACTGACAACTATGACTTTTAACTTTGGGTGTGCACAAGTAGGCACTTAAACTTGTATAAAATTGAACAAATAGACACATTCATCCTACATGGCACCCTACATGAAATTTTTATGTCCTACGTGGCGTCCTACATGTATTATGTCATGTAAGACATGTGTGTCTACTTGTTTAATTTTATACAAGTTTAAGTGTCTACTTGTGCATACTCAAAGTTGGAGGGCATAGTTGTCCGTTGAAGACAAGTTAAGGGTCATGTTTATGTATTATGCCTAATTAATACATGCATAACCAATGCATACATAACTAATACATGCATTACTAATGCAAACACTACTAATACACTCTATTTAACATTATTTATTAAAGTTTTAGGATTTAAGAGTTGAGGAGTAAATTTAAATTATTAATCTCAAAGAATTTACATGTATGAAATTTTAGATTCGATCCTTACAATCATTTTTTTTTTAAAAGAGTTAAATCATCCAAATTCTTCGTCAGTCCCAATTTATGTGACACTTTTCAAATTTCAAGATTCAAACAAGCTTATTTTGATCGTAATTTTTTCATATATCTTTTAAATATTTTTAATTTTCAATTATTGTGATTTATAATATTTTTTACTTGAATAATATAAATACATTTCAAAAAATTTGAATATTTCATGCGCAAATTGTCGATCAAACTTAATCTGTTTAACTCTCGAAAAATGAAAAATATCACATAAGTTAAGACAAAAAGAGTATTATTTAATCATGAATATCATATCTTAACTATTCATTAATTTATTTATTTATCTAAAATATTATATCACTTCTTTAATATTAAAACCCACATCCATGCTGAGTTAAACTACACATAGCTATTATTGAATGAAAATAATATACAACCAACTCAACAATTGATCTGTTTTTAGTTTTTAATACTCTAATAATTAAATAATTGAGATAAAAAAGTCGTGAAAAAAATAATAATTTAATTATATATATATATTTATTTTTTTAAACTATTTAACTCCAAAAATAACGACTACACATGCAGGTACTTCAGAACAACAAAGTTAGTTATGCGTAGTTTGCTTTATTTTTTTATTTTTTCAATTCGACAGCTAACATTTGCACAGTCAATCACAACCGTTAAATTACTCATCGCCGGCGATCTGTAAACTCCGATCACTTCTCCGTGATCTGACTAACAATGTCATGGTTGGCTCGATCAATCGCCAACTCCCTGAATCTCGACGACGACACAAACGACGTCGTTCCACCTCCTAATCGAGATCACTCCACTGACAATCCAAAATCGGAAAATCATCAACAAACAGAAGATTCATCTTCACCGACATCGCCTTCACGTGGCGTTAAAGAGGATCTGTCGGAGCTAACTAAAACACTAACCAGTCAATTTTGGGGAGTCGCGTCATTTCTAGCTCCACCGCCACAATCCGATTCGTATAAGCCTATTGATAACTCCAAATTGGATCCGGATGAGGAGGAATCCGACCCGGCGGCGGGGATCGTAGGTTTGCAGACTGACTTTGCTGAAATCAGTGGGAAGTTCAGGAGCGGAATATCTTTACTGTCGAGTAATATGGCGGTGTCGGAAATTACGAAAATGGCGTCGAATTTACTGCAGTTGGGACCGGAAGAGGAGGAAGAGGGGAAAGGCTTTGATCTGGACAAAGGTGTTGTTGGTGTTACGGAAGAAGTAGTGGCTTTCGTAAGGGACATTGCGATGCGTCCTGAAACTTGGTTGGATTTCCCTTTGCCCGAAAATGCAGATGATGAAGGTGATTTTACTTTTTCATTTTCTTTTATTTGTTTACTCTTATTTTGAATTTGTTGAAATGCTTCCAATATGTTATTGATTGTGAGATCATTGGTCTGCTTTGGCTGCGATAGAGTGGGTAAGACACACATTGGTTGGGAAATGAAATTGGTGGTTTGCCTATATGAACCTGCACAATCCTTTCCTTCATGAGTTAGCTTTTGAGTTGAGTTAGGTTCATATGTCATATATTTAGGTTCATTCATGGTTGGGCTCTTGGTTCAAGCTCTAGTTGAGCTTGGGTGTGAAGGAGGTGTAAGAGTGGGTTAGAGTCCCACGTTGGTTAGAAAATGAACTAGTGATTTGCTTATATGGACTTGAGTAATCCTTTTGGGGTTGAGTTAGGCTCAGATGTTATATGTTTAGAGGCGGCTTTGGTATCATAAGTAACATTACTTTGATACGAGAATAATTCGTCCCAAAAGTAAACTATTTAGATCAATAGTGAATTTGGATAGGTGCAACTCTCCAAGCTGCAACAGATGAACTTCCAAATTGAATAGGAATTTATCTAAAAGAAATCTCTAATAACAGAGTGTAGATCGTACTACTTGTAAACAAAAATCTTTATTCACGTGTAAATTGATTAATGCAGGTTTCAGAGGGTTCTGAAACTACTATCTCTATTTTTCTGCTACCTCCCACCAATACAGGTAGTGGGTAGCGTAGCTAGGAATTTTATGAAGGGTGTCCAAATATTATATAAGTAATTTTATTTTTTTTGATGAATGGATGCGTTGAAAAAATTAAAATTGAACTACATAATATTAATATTACTTTTTTTTTTTTACGAATAAATGTTTCAAAATTTTAAAAATCAAACTGCATAATATTTAGCTTTAATATTTGTGTTTAATTTAATATAAAGTGAATGAACAAAACAAAAAAAAGGAAGGGGGGGAGGGGGGAAGCTTAAAATGAAATCATTTTTACGTTTCAAACTTTCACTAATCTAGGGTGATGACAACAATAACGAGACATAAATAATGAAAGCAGAATCAAATGAGGTTTTGTTCGCTTTTAGCAACTTTATAGAAATAGTTTAGAATTTATTTA